GCTTCCAGGGCCTCAGGGTCTCGTGGAAGTAGGTGAAGTTGACAGCTTTCAGTCTCCCTGGGCATTCCCTCCTACTGCCCCTCCCTGGCAGCTTCTCTTTTCCTTTATTTAATCCTAACAACAACCCCACTTGTTGCTTCCATTTTTGAGATGTGGAAACTGAGTCATGGGAGGTTAACTAACTTGACCAAGGTTTTATATATTAACATTAAACCCTAATAGACTTAATTTTTAGTTTTAAATAGTTGTGTTGGGTAGATACTTCCCCCCCCCACTTTTTTATTGGCCAAGAGAAACATATTTACAGAATGACATCTCCCATCATCTCCTTTTTTCTGTCTAAAGAGTTTTAACCTTAACATAGTAAAATATATAACAAAACAGTTATCAAATAAGAACCATAGTTAACGATGTCCAGTCCATTAACATTTAGTAAGATTTAAAGAAAATATTCTATCATCTATCCTATCTTTGTGAGTCTAAAGTCCTATATGTGACTTTAATCCTAACTAAGGAAAACTATAACCTTATCTATCAGTCTTCAACTCCATCAAAGACCACAGAAGGATAATATATAAACTCTAGAATTGAAAGAGACAACTCACCTGGTCAGTTCCAAAGTTCTTCTGTAATGTTCCATTTTCAGCCTATAGGCCATAGTGTGTCTGGCAGACTTCTCAACAAAGCAAGAAATTTCAAAATGTCCCATCTGTGTTGGCAGTTTGTCAGTTGCTTTTCTCCTCGTCCTGCAGACTGTCTGGCAGACTCTTCCATGAAGCAAGAACCCTGTAGCAATGTCCACCTTGTATCAGCAGTCACTTTCCTGTGGGTCCTGCATGTCTATTTTATACAGCATAAAGTCAAACAGTCCAGACAAGAACAGTATTTTGCCCAAATGGCTGGTCTTGCCATATTGGAGGCAAACTCCATAATGTGTTTCTTCGATGTCCATCTTCCTTTCTGATGCAGGTAGTGTTGCCAGGAGCAGTTGTGCCTCACTGTTAAGAAAAACCCTAAACCATTTTAAATGCCATATTCTGTAGGTCTTTGAAAGGTTTGAAGAATGCCTATTCATCTCGAATACATCTCTGTATATCTAGAATCCTACTAACTTAACTATAAGTTTTGACTATTATAGGTAACTATCTATAATCTGTAATAAGTTATATATTTTTTAAATGAGCTACATAGACATAATACCTAAACAAGAGGAGAAATATACATATCATAAAATTGACCTTAAATTTGTATCAACAAATGAAAATTCATTCCAAAATGAAGTATTCATATCTATACCATAATCCCCTTTTTACCTTTAAAAAGATTGGTTGTGGTCATTAACCATTTATAACTGACCCCATTTAAATGAAAACAAACATTTATAAACAATATTTGGGAATTTGGGCATCATTCTTTCCAAACTGCTTCCTGCTGGTAGGGGGCGCTGTCATGGAGATCCTAAGAAGATGCAGAAATCTTGGCTGTAGTCTGCAAGGCTGCATTGTCCTCCCTTTTTTTTTTTTTTTTTTACTAATTTATTTTTTACATTCCAATCCCAGTTCCTCCTTCCTCCTTCTCTCCCACTCCTCCTCCTCTCCCCTCCTCCCATCTGCTCCAAGGAGAGGGTAAGGCCTCCCCTAGGAAATCTACTAAGTCTGTCCTATCATCTAGTTGAGGCAGGACCAAGGCACCTCTCCACCCTCACATCCCTGTGTCTAGACTGGGCATGGTGGATAGGTACCTTTAAAAATATTACTAAACATGTTTTCTAAAACAAAACAAAACAAAACCAGATTGCTGAATGTGGTGACACACACTTTTCACTGCAGGAAGATCAGAAGTTCAAGGCAGACCTTAGCTATAAAGTAAGTTTGAGGCTAGCCTGGGCTTCATGAGATCCTGTCTCAAAAACAAAACAAACAAACAAACAAACAAAAACCTAACAAAACAAAAAACTCAAAGAATAACAAAAACAACCCAAAAAGCAAATAGTTCAAAAGAATGTATAAACAAAATCCAAGTGTCCTACTCAACCCACTTCTCAGATCCCATTTCTTCCTGGGAGAGAGTAACACCACCAGCTCCTTCTAGTCACTTCTGAATTCTTTGTGTGTGTGTGTGTGTGTGTGTGTGTGTGTGTGTGTGTGGTGTGATGTTAGTGTATGTGCATGCACATGAGTATACATGTAAATGGATGACACTACTACCATCATTCTATGTCTATTGCTAGTGCCCCTTCCCTTTCTGACTGTTCCCGGTGACTTTCCCTGGTCATAGAGCATGTGGAAGTCCTAGCAGTGGGACATCAGGCTTGGATTTTTTACACTCCTGATCTACCCACATGATAAATCCATAGCCTGGGCATTTAGGATCCATGCCCGCCAGAAAGCCACACTGTGGTCTTGACCAATGTTACCCTTCCTTAGAGTTTTGAAGAGCATCTGCTGAGAACCCATTGGTATTGCTACAAATGTCAGTGTCAAGTGACATTGAGATGTCACCTTTGCTCCAGCTTTCCTGTGTTTGACAAAGAGAACTAATCTATATTTAAGGTACATAATGCAATCTATCTGTCTGTCTGTCTCTGTCATCTATCTCTATCATCTATCTGTCTTACACACACACACACACACACACACACACACACACACACACACCATACTGTGAGGTGATTACAACTATCAACCTAGATCTCACACTGATCTCACGCTGATCCCCCCATCGAGGACTCCATGCAGTTCCTGTGTCCTGCCTAGGCACTGACATCTCTAAAACTTTGCCACAAACAGAACTTAGAGGACACCTGACCCCATGCTCCCAGCAGAAGTCACCCACTTGCCAGCCTGAGGCTCTAGTCACTGGCGTTTGACGGTTTTGACCATCACATTTTGATGAATTGGTCTCTGGCATGAGAACTGCTCAATGTCCTCTATAACCCCTGGCTTTCTAGAAACTGCCTCTATATTTAGCCTGGTTGCACCACCCCTGGTCCCCTTCCTAAACTAGGGTATAATTGTCAGCCATCCAGAGAATGATAGGGTTCAGACTCAGAAGCAGTAGAGAGAGGCATTGAGGTCCTGCAGAATGGGAAGGCTCTTGTTTCTCAAAACCAAACTAGCTCATAGGCAATTGGCTTTGGGAGGAAGGCAGGGTAGGGTGTGTGGTCTTAGGACAAAGCACAGGGCCAGGGCTGGGCAGTATGGCTGCCCTGACTCCTTATGGGCAGACACTAGATGGCAACCACATGTCAAAGAGCCCTTAGAAGGTGGGAGGACAGAATAAATTGGCCTGCAAGCCAGCAGGGCCTATAGTCCAGCCAACATCCATATTAAGAAGACAGACCAGGTCTGCTCCAGGTTCTGAGAATGAGACAGCCGGTGACCAGCCAGTGGGGACCAGCCAGTGTTCCTGGAACACGAAGTCAAAAGTTTGTGTTCCCAGACACCATTCCTTTCCTCTGGTCACATATTTAAGGAAACTCAGGAAGAGCTGAGTTTACAAATTCACAGAGCACTCTTGCATTTTGAAAGCTGTGAGGACACTCAGGGATTCCTTCAGCTTCCTTCCTGCCTCAGGGACCTCCCTGTCCTGATGAAATGTGATCTGGAACTGCAAGCTGAAATAAACCTTTCCTGACGTTGCTTTTGTCATAGTATTCTATCACAGAGACAGGAAAAGGAACTAAGACAGTCCCTCAGTCACAGGTCATAGGCAAGAAAGACCTTAGAGCCTGAGGAATTACAAGCAGGCCTCTGGAGGGCTCTAGAGACTCCACCTGGTGTTTGGGGAGAGCCCCACCCCCACCCCAGACTGGATGAGGCTTTGCCATGCCACTGTGAAGGCATGCATAGGAGTGCTTCTTGGTTCACAGCAGCGACTCCTAAGCTAGACAAGACAGTGGGTGGAGAAGGGCGCTGCCCCACAAAGACCTGGGATAAAATGCCTGGTTGTGAACAAAGAGGAAATGAGAATTTGTTCTGAATTAGAAACATCTGGTCTTCAAGTAGGTTTAGAGAATCGTGGGCATTTGTGGTAACAGGTGAAGCCTCAAGAACCACGGCGGGAAGGAGAGGTCACATGGCTCCTATCCTAGAGTAGGCCAATGTGGCTGTGATGATCACATTCCTGGGTAACCCTGACGGCTCACAACTTGCTTTTGTAATTTGCTGTCCCCTAGGAAAAGACAGTAGAAGTATAAAGGCAAATGTTGAAAGCTTCTTGTCCCCACAAAGGTGGACACTGGCTCACCTCTCAGTCTCTTCCTGAGCATATACAGGACAGACTGGATGGCCTAATCTTAGGGCCACACACCCCCCCCAACAGCCTGGCACTGCCTACTGTCATTACAACCCTAGCTCTGCTGTTGCCCCCTTGGGTATGAAATGTCATCAGTGGAGGGTACCAGAGCCAAAGTCCAAAGCCAACAGATGGCCCTTCATCCTGGGCCCATCTGGCCTTGAGCTATGCTGAGTCGTCTGTTTGGTTGAGGGCTCAACTTTATTGAGCACTTTGAGTTTCTAGGACTGAAAGCCATCCAAGAAGCTAGAAGCTGAGCCCTGAATTCCTACAACTCTCAGATCTGAAGCCTTAATTTCTTACTGAATAGTTCTTAACCTCAGGGATCCCCATCTGGTAAGTGAGGCAGTCATACCAAGGTCTTCCAAGTGGACCCAAGGGTCTGTGACCATTTGTAGTGGCTGGGGAGCCTCACTCTGGTGTCTTTTCCCCATCCATGGGCCAAGTCAGTCTGGTTGCTGAGGATTATGGTTGTTTTAATCCCTATGTTCCAAGGAAGGTAAACTGCTAGTCTTTGGTTAATATACCTAGCTCAGGGCAGAGCTTAGGGCTACTGAGAGTGGCCCAATGGAATGAAAAATGGACATGTAAGAAAGAGCCTTTTGGCCAGGTCTCCATAGTTACAGTCCCTGAAGGCTGTTCTTAGTCAGGGCTTAGGAGCCAGAAGGTCAGTGACTCAGTGAAGAATTGTGCCCTCTTGGCAGGCGGAGCATGAAGCGGAAGGCACTGTTCACTTGTCCCTTCAATGGAGACTGCCGAATCACCAAGGACAACCGTCGCCATTGCCAGGCCTGCCGACTCAAACGCTGTGTGGACATCGGCATGATGAAGGAATGTGAGTGTCCAGGAGACGTGGTCACTGTTTCTCCACCAAGGGCCACCTCTACCTACTCTGTAGCCCCAAGGATCCTAGACCAGGGTTAGGGTGTGGGTGAAGCAATGCTGTTATGGCTGCAGTTTGGAGTATATCAAGGGGCTGTGTTTAAAGAGAGAACCCATAGAATTCAACAGATGCTGGGGAAGGGCTCATCCGGGCCTCCTGGGCTGGAGCACAAGCACAGGTCCTCGCAGAAGCCCTTGCCTCCTTTGCACAGTGGGCATTTATACCCAGACCCCAAACTGGCTCTAGGCTCTAGGACAGGTCCATGCCTTGCTAAGCTGTGAGCCTGCAGTCACTCTGTGAAGCCCTCTGGGCTATGGGAATGTGAGGAAAGAGGGAAAACCAGGAAGACATGTCAGGAGTGAATGGAAGTTGTCATAGAACAGGACTTGGGATGAGAGAAATAAAATGCCTCGAAAAGCAGACGCAGAGTCACCTTGGTCCTCCTTCACACTAAGACTCCTTAGTCCTGGTCCCAGCTCCCAGCCAACCCTGGCAGCCCTGAAAGGAGTTTCCAGACCTCGGTTGCAGCTCATACTACAGAAACATACAGGTCTGGACACGCCATGGCTGCTACCGAGTCACTGCCCCACCCCACCTCCTGTGTTTATACTGGAGAGTGAGACGGAGGCCCAAGGCTGGCTGGGTGTTCTCAGACATTCTTAATGGGGCCTGTTCTGTGCCTCGTACTCAAGTGAGCACACAGAAGTGCCCTGCCTCTGTGGGACAGGATACCTCTTTGGAGAAGGTTCCTTAGTGTCCTAATGTTCCTGCCATCCAAGAATGGCTCTGGGTTCCATTGTTGAGGTTCTGTAAGATGCGATTGCTTACACTTGAAGATCCTCTCTGAACCAGAAAGACAAAACATCAGGACTAAGATCCAAAAAGCAAGCTGGTGGTGATCTGGGACTAAACTCAACTCAGGTCCCTTTCTAGACACCCCCAGGATTGCCACAAGGGGCAAACAAGCCCTCAAGTGCTGAATTAAGACACCCCCCCCCATACATGCTATCACATGATGGTGCCAGCCAGCCAGAAGTAGATGGCCTTCTCCAAAGCAGTTTGGGTCTCATCTTAGTGTCCATAGCATCTCCTGTCTTGGGTCGCCCAGCTTTGCACATTCAGGCTTGAAGTCCCTCCAGAGCCAATACCCTGCAGTGGCTTTTAAACATACACACACACACATACACACACACACACACACACACACACACACACACACACACACACACCAGAGATAATCAAGTATCTCACTATTTTCAAACTACTAGGAGAGGCTAGGAACTACTCAGTCTTCCTTCTAGCTGGGACAGGAAGCTGGCCCTTCATAGGAAGGAAAGCAGAGGAAGGGGAGGCTTATGAAAAGGTGGCAAAGGCAGGAACCAGTGTTTACTGACAATCTGCTGGGGGTGCCAAAGACTGCATTTCCTCTTCTATCTCAGAACAACCCCTAAGCAGGTGAATACTACTTTTTTTAGCAGCTAAGAAAAGTCAAGAGAATTAACCTGTTAAGCCTCTGAGCTAACATGACATATGCATCTATCCTGCCCTAGGCATGACCTATGGGCTCCATCTAGGGAAACCCAATAGGCACTCATATCAAGTCAATGCTTGTCCCATCCCCATGCTCTGTCTGGAGCCCTAAGGAATAGTCTAAAGAGAGCTTTGTCCTCTTAAGGTTCCTGTCCTCTGTCTTCAAGTCCTAGACAGTTCTTTTTTGTTTGTTTGTTGTTTTGTTTTTCAAGACAGGTTTTTTTCTGTATTGCTTTGGAGCCTGTCCTGGAATTTTCTCTGTAGACCAAGCTGGCCTTGAACTCACAGAGATCCTCCTGCCTCTGCCTCTCGAGTGCTGGGATTAAAGGCATGTACCTACCACCAATGCCGGTGTGACCGTTCTCATTTGAAGTTTGTTTCTTATTCTTATTGCTTTTGAGGTAGGGTCTTGCTATGCAAGCTCAGGCTGGCCTCAACCCTGTGCTTCAGGGTCTTGACTATGGACTGGAGTTCTTGCATCTTGCTACATCTGTCCTGCCCAGAACCACCCCCATGTGATAACTTTCTTCCCCAGTTTCTTTAAGTTTGCATAGCACCTGGGACATAGAATGTGTTCAGTAAATGTGTTGAATGAATATCAGCTCTCCACATGCTTCTATCTCTAGATCCTCATTGGTCTATAGAGATTAGTAAGCTTAGCCTAACTCTGATATTGTCTGAGTCATTCATTTGAGGGGAAAGTTATATCCTCTCCCTTGGTGTTCTGAGGTCACTAGTGACATATTCATATTTTAAAACCACTCACATTAGCAGATCTTGACTTTCCAACTCTAGTCTAGACATTGTTGGACAGGAAACATTTTACATGCAAATAACTTATGCAAAGCTATTTCATGTCCCCCAAGGGATTTGCAAGGAAGTGGAGGCTGTACCGGCTTGCCTAAGCCAACTACTGATGTTCAGTCTTATCCATTGCAGGGTTCCCCAGGACCCAGTTACTAGGTCACTGGCTTCCCTTCAGAAGAGCATCTTCCAACCAGTAGTAGTGGCATCTAAATATCAACTCACCGAGAAAATTATTTTTAAAATTCCCAAGAGGTTACTAAGCCCTTTAAGCTACTTATTTCACGAATTACACAGTGTATGTGAATGTGTGAACAAGGTATATTTGTCCCTAGTCAGTGTTGCTTCCTGGAAGCTCTGGATAGGAGCCAGCAACTCTCAGATTTCACTAGCCTTCCCCAGGCAGAAAGGCCTGGCTGCTACTCAGCACAAGCAGTTGGGAAGAAAGGTGTTAAAGGTTAACTTTGAACTTTAAATTATTTGTTTATTTATTTAAGCTGTGGCATGTGTCATAGCATATATGAGGAGGTCAGAGGGCAGCTTGTTCTCTCCTTGCACAAGGAAGGTGGGTCCCTAGTATTGAACTCAAGTGGCTTGGGCTCTACCGACTGTGGCTTTTCCCAATGAACCATGCTGCTTGTCTCTGAAGTTAATTTTGAATCTTTATTGTCTTCTTCAAGTAAGTCACTGACAAACTTTGTTCCATTAGTTGTTCACACTCTTTAGCTTTACTCAGGACAGTTTGTGTCAGGACTCCATGTCTAAGAGACAGAGTCCCACTGAGAAGTTACACCTTGATATAATCAGAGGCAGATGGACTTGTAGGAATGACCATTCATTCCAGAACCAGACTGCCCAAGTCTGAATGCTGGTTCTACTATTGTTAGCTGTGTTACCCTGAGCAAGCTACACAACCTCTCTGGGCCTCAGTTTCCTCTTCTACAAAGATATTTACCTTAAAGGATTTGTTATAGTGAACCAATGTGCAAAAGGCCCTCTTTATTTTTGGTTTTTTGAGACAGGGTTTCTCCGTGTAACAGCTCTAGCTATGCTGGAACTTGCTTTGTTGACTGGGCTGGCCTCAAACTCACAGAGATTCTCCTGCCTCTGCCTCCAGAGTGCTGGGTTTAAAAGCATGTGCCACTACCTGGCCCAAAAGGTACTTATAACAATGTTGGTACAAAACAAAACAAAAACAAACAAACAAAAAAACAATAACAACAACAAACCAAATAAGTCACCATTATGCTTACCTTCTTATGATGACAAACTTGATTACCAGAATTCTAGGTCCCAAAAGATCAAAAGTAATCTTAAGGCCAGATGTGGTTAACACTTACCCAGCACTTGAGGGGCAGAAACAGATGGATACCTGAATTAGAGACCAGCCTGGTTTACATAGTAAGTTCTAGGACAGCCAGAGATAAACAATGAGACCCTGTCAAAACAAAACTAAAACAGCACATGGGACTAGACCATGGCTCAGTGGATAAGAGAGCACTGACTGCTCTTCCAGAGGATCTGGGTTTGATTCCCAGCACCCACAAGGTAGCTAGCTCACAACTGTTTGTAACTCCAGTTCCAGGAGATCTGATACCCTCCTTCTGGCCTCTACAGGCACCAGGCATACATATGGTAGATGATACAGGCAAAATTAAAAAATTAAATTAAAAAATTAAAAATTAAAATTAAAAAATTAAAAAATCATAAAATTAAAAAATAAATATATAAGAGAAAAAAAAGCTGTACCTCTAGAGGCAAGCACCAATAAGCAGAGCCAACACATAACATATAACTTAGCAGAGGTGTCGATAGAAGCCGTGCCAAATCACACAAAGACCCCAAAGTGTACTCTCTGCAGAGTTTGAAGGCATCATCTGAGAAAAACTTATGGTCATTCGGTAGTCCCTTACAGATAAGTCTGTCTTGGAAGTGTTTCAATAATAATTATTTAAATCAAAGAGGTTGGCTTTGATAGGTTACTCAGTGAGCCTGCGTGCTGAGTTCTATTCCTGACATTGCAAAGTGCATACAGCCTGGTGCAGTCCTCAATGCCTGTGGAAATGACTTACATGGTAGACACACTCCATACAGACATACTTGATAGTTAGTGTCACACTACATGGCAAGCACCATGGCAGGAACCCCACCCTCCACTAACCTCTGTAAGGGAACACAAGATTTGTAAGCCATAGTCCCCTTCCTTAAGCATCCTATGTTCTAGGAAAGGAGGCCTTACATTTCCTTTTTTTAAAAGATAATTTATTTAACTTTATTTTATGTGCTTTGGCATGAAGGTGTCAGATCCCCTGGAACTGTAGATACAGACAGTTAGAAGGTGCCATGTAGGGTGCTGGGAATTGAACCCAGGTCCTGTGGAAGAGCAGCCAGTGCTCCTAACCACTGAGCCATTTCTCTAGCCCTAGCCTTGAATTTCTTAAGTTTCTCTATCAACATTTATTAAAACCTGTATATCAGCTATGAGTCTCAGAGTGGGAGACTCGGATGCCAATGTGGGTGGAAAACACTAATCATGCAGGAGGAGTGGGAACAAGAGCTCCGAGCTATCAGGGCAATCAAGAAAGGCTTCATGGGAAAGAGGGCCACTCAGGAAAGAATAGACTCTGTCAGCAATGTCGACATGCCTAGAACAGAAGCTGTGTCCCAGGACGCTGAGAAATGAGGTTGGAAAACGTTAAGCCAGATCATGAAAGGCCTCAACTTCAATTTGATCGTGGCAAGTAGGAAAGATGCAGAAGTTTCTAAGTAGAACACCACCACAGAATACTGGGAGGGCTACCAAAATCTGCCAGGCGGATCAACATGCCTGCAGACGCCCACGTGGGACAGGAGGAGCCCCGCCTCCGGAGCTCCCATCTCCGATGCTGCTCAGCCTTCACATAGGCAGGAGAGCAGGAACCATGTGGAACCATGGTCCCACAGACCGTGACTTTCGGCCCTTCCTTTCCTTGGGATGGCTCCTAGCACCGTTTCCCCCAACCCCACCTGACCTCCTAGGGGTTGAGCAGACACCCTCTGTGGGAGGAGGGTTGGCAGCTCTTTGGGCAGATGAGTCAGCCACTGGGGCGTGGTTTCCTTCCAGCACTGTTCTTTGGGCTCTGTACCTTGGTTGTGGGAAGAAGGCACCATCTTTCTCAAAGACTTTGTCAAATGCCTGTGGCTTTGACTGTCCACTCCTGCCTACCATAGGTACTTATTCAGCTCCCACTGACTTCTCTCATCCTCCTTCTCCATGACGGGCTGGGGTCAGTGAACTGTTCTTGAAGCCCAGAGCCCATTTACTCTCTGGTTGTAGTTCCTTCCCCTGCTCTTGTGAAACTCCACACTTCTGTGGGCAGATGCCCTGGCAGCTTGAGCACAGAGCAAGTAGCTACAGGCTGAGGGCCCTAGTGCCCACTCCTAACATCAGGCTCTGCAAGCCCTGGCCAGGCGGTCTGTTTGCCTGGCTGCTGTGCCAAGCATCCCTGCTCCCACCTGTCTGTGCAGGCAGCTGCCCCAGCACAGGGTGGCAGGCACCACTGCAGAAGCCCCTGTACCAGCCTGCAGGTGACAAAGGCTCTCCCATGACTAGTTATCTACATACGTCAACTGGAAGGTGTACTGCCCCAGACCCGGGCTATGGGGCTCCAGTTTTCAGGGATTCCAAGAGGGCTCAAAACATTCCTTGAGCTGAAGTTCCAAGCATAGCCACACTGAAAACAGAGATGTTATTATGCAGAGAAGCAAAGGAACAAAGACTTTCCATGTTGTTTAGAGTGGACCAGAAGGCTGAGTTCCATGTCAGGAAATGAAAGTGTGGAAATGGCCTCTTTGAGTAGGTCTTCTCGGCATTCCCTAGCTTCCAACACAGGGAAGGCCCACATGGTCATGGGCAAGGAACGACATGTAGCTTTGTGCCAGGCACACATCTAGTTCTCCAAACAAGTAGTCTTTTGGGGTGTTTTTCTCCTACTCCTCCTTCTCTTCCTCCCTTCCCCCCTTCTCTAATAAGGAGACCTTGGAAGAGACCATATGTTCCAAACTGCTCACTTTTTATGAGTGAGGTAAAAAGCTTGGAAAGTCTGCCATTTTCCTCGAGGTCCCACAACTTGTCCTTGAGAATCTAGACTTCTGATTACCAGACATAGCCCCACCTATCTCACACGCACTTGCCTCTCTGCTGTGGAAAACCCAGTTTCCTCCATGTCATGGTGTTGGAGCTAACATGGCAGCTGGGTTCCACGGGGACAGCCCCCATGTAAGGAGCTGACCAACCCGTCCCATACCAGTCCTTTTGTTGTGGAGGAAGGGTTCCTGGAGGGGTTTTGGGCCATCCCTCAGAACTCCCTTTCTTGCCCCCACAGTCATCCTAACAGATGAGGAGGTGCAGCGTAAACGGGAGATGATCATGAAGCGAAAGGAGGAAGAGGCCTTGAAGGACAGTCTGAGGCCCAAGCTATCCGAGGAACAGCAGCGCATCATAGCCATCCTGCTGGACGCCCACCACAAGACCTATGACCCCACCTATGCTGACTTTAAGGATTTCCGGGTACATCTTCTGGCCCAGGCCTTGAGAATCAGATATAGCGTAGGCATGGGGAGCATGGATGGAGGGTCAGGGAAGAGCGATGGTATGGAGGCCATTCTGTCTGCTGTGAGCCCTTCCCCTTGCAGATCTTCCCCGAAGACTTTATTCTCAGAGGCAGCAGAATGTCCCCCAAAGAGGGACCTCTGAGAACTCATCTTTGCCTTCCAGCCTCCAGTTCGTATGAATGGGAATGAATGGAACTATCCTGCAAGGCCCACACTCAGCTTCTCTGGGGATTCCTCCTCCTCCACCTCCGAGCTGTACGCCACCACTCTGGGTAAGGAGCCCTTCAACCAAGCAAACTGGGGGAAAGTGTCCACCTCCACTCGCCCTTAGGCTATAGGGGCAGGGACAAAAATCTCCCATTTGCATACTGTGTGTGGGATACAGCCCTTCTTTCACAGAAAGAGGGCTGGTTTGTGCAAGATGCATACTGGAAAGAGACCAAGCGGGTTCTTGCTGTACACATGGGCCCTCTGGGTCCAGGCTCAGCCTCTGAGCCAAGCTCTGTCCTTGACATCCTCCCTGGAATGACCTGGAGGTCACTGTTCAAGGTGTTGGTCCTGGACTCTTTGGAAGGAGAAACTGATCTGGGAAGAAGACCTATGATTCTGGAAGGGCCCTGTGGCCTGAGTACTGGGGACACCAAGCACTGTGGCCTCAGACAACTTGTCACCTTCAACTCCCGAGTCTGGACTTTGTGCTTATCTGCTTTGGGCTCTCTTCATATTCATCTTCATCATCCTGCCTCATCCTTCTTCCTCTGTCTCTCACCCAGTTCTCATGTCCTCCTCTCGGGACCTGGAAGGGGGGGATAGGACCCTCTATCTCCAGCATGTGTGCATGCCTTGACCTTCACTTCAGACTGTGACACACCTGTGCATTGATTGAAACAGGGTGCCAAGTGCACAGACAGTGCCTACCCACTAGAAATGAAGGGAGGGGGTAGTCAAACATGAAAGAAAAGCATGGGCATGGCCTGTGGCTGGCACCCCCTTCCCTCCCCTCATTGGGATCCCCCTCCACCCTGAGTATTCATTCTGCTTTCCATCAGATGACATAGTCATTGTCCCAATTATGGACAAACAGCACTTTAGCTTTTTATAATCATGTATGTCCTTTAGGTGATTCTATTATTCTTTATTTTATTTTGAGACAGAGTCTTACTATGTAACATTTACTGTCTGGAGCTTGCTATGTAGATCAGGCTGCCCTGGAAACTCATAGAGAATCACCTTCCTCTGCCTCTCTGTCTCTGCCTCTGCCTCCTGGGTGCTGGTGATTTTAAACTTTTCATAAGTTCATTGGCCCAAGTTCCTTACACCTACCAATGTATGTTCATATAGTTTGTTTACAAACTCAGAAACGTAAAATGATGTTAATTAAAAATTATTATACAGACATAATATGCATTCATCATAGCTACTTAGAAAATGTAGATATATACATTTTGTTGCATAATATAATCTTCAATCCTACTGTTAAGGGGATTACTGTTAACCCCTTGATGTGTCTTTCTGATTCCCTTCAGACATAGAATTGTGTTATGTAGCCTAATGATTTGTGTCCCTTCTGTAAAGTAAAATACCAAAATCCCCTACTGTTGGATATCTATTTAGATTGGTTCCTAGTTTTTTTAGTTTTTCTCCTGGGTAAATATTTATACTTATTCCAATTTTTTCTTATAATGGATGCGTGGAAGTGTAATCAATATACACAATAAGATCTCTCTCCTGGGGGGGCACCCCCTTAATCACTGCACTCTGGGGGATCACACCCTTAATCACTGCACTCTGGGGGGGACACCCTTAATCACTGCACTCTGGGGGATCACACCCTTAATCACTGCACTCTGGGGGGGCACCCTTAATCACTGCACTCTGGGGGATCACACCCTTAATCACTGCACTCTGGGGGATCACACCCTTAATCACTGCACTCTGGGGGGGCACCCTTAATCACTGCACTCTGGAGGATCACACCCTTAATCACTGCACTCTGGGGGGGACACCCTTAATCACTGCACTCTGGGGGATCACACCCTTAATCACTGCACTCTGGGGGGGGACACCCTTAATCACTGCACTCTGGTGCTAGAGGCAGGTAGATCTCTGTGAGTTCCAGGGCAGCCTGGGCTACATAGAGAGATCCTGTCTCATAATCAAAAAGAGGTTCTCATCCTCTTGTCTTCACCTCCTGAGAGGTGCACATGACCACACTCAGCAACTGAAGGCTTTTCACCCCCAGTTTCAGGTAGCTTTTTAGATGACCACACACCGCCTGAAGCCCCCTTCACTGCATAAGACTCTCTTCAACGTTTTAGTCTTCACAAATGCCAGAATCAACTTTATATTTGTCTCTAGTATATAGTTGGAAAATGTAAATGTTCTCTACCTTGTAGTTCCTTGATCATAACAGAAATGGGTTGTTTTTTTTTTTTTTTTTTTTTTTTTTTTTGCCCCATGGATTGAGGAAGTAAGTCTTTGCTCCTAGGTTGAGGGGTCCTAAACACAGTTTTAATTGAGTTATTAGGAAGACTGCATGCTTTGCAAAATTATAGCTAAAAAGGGCTTTTTTTCCAGAGTGTCTCTGGCTTCTTGGATTTACTGCCTCAAAGAGCTAAAATAAGAGATGGGGAGAGACCCAGAGGGAGCCCGGGAAGGAAGATCGACCCTGAGAGAAGGCAGTCACTATGGGGTAACTCTGTCTCAGGTGAACATGAGGTCCTCACATGAGGGCCTGGCCCAGGGTATCCCTAAATAGTTCCCTCTCTTCCATCATCTTCCCCAGACATGATGGAACCATCCAATTTTTCCAACCTGGATTTGAATGAAGAGGACTCTGATGACCCTTTGGTGAGCCTGGATCTGTCTCAGCTCTCCATGTTGCCCCACCTAGCGGACCTGGTCAGCTACAGCATCCAAAAGGTCATCGGCTTTGCCAAGATGATACCAGGATTCAGGTAAGAAGCTCTTGCAGTGTGTGGGAAACCGTTAGGATCCCATGTGGAACTAGACAGTCCCTGGCAATCTTCTGCTGCTTCCACCAACGACAGCCTCAGGCCCGTCCCAGAGCACCTACACCAGGACCTCTGGACCAGACCAGGACTGTCCTTTAGCACATGTAGCTGCCCAGCATTATGTTGAGAGACCTCTAAGAACAGTTCCACTGCTCACTTTCTGGGTGGCGAAATGGCATCCCACAGAGGTTTCATGGCCAGCTGGGATCTTTTTAGGGCATCAGAATCAGGCCAAGGAACCCTAGATACCTGCAACTGACTCCCACTGCTGTCTTGAAACTAATCCTCACATCATCCCTTTAGATTCAACCTACAAGGTTCCTGCACACCCAGTTCCGAGGCCAGGATGAAGTGACAGTGGAGAGAACATGTAGGACTCTGGATTTGTCAAATAATTCAGGAATCCTAGAAAACTAGAGGCAGGTTCCCTGGCATACATGACTTGACATTTCTCACCCAAATCCGAATCAAATTGCCATCTCCAAATCATACTAAGCCCTTCTTTCCAAAATAGGTGGAGACAAAGAGTTCTACTGGGGGGGGGGGCACGTTTTGCCTTACAGACTCATTCTTGCAGATTTTGCTCACTCATGTCTAAATTTGCTTTAATAATCGCATGTGCAGTTGGGGGAGATAGCTCAGTGGTTAAGAGCACTTGTACAAGTGTGAAGGCCAGAGTTCATATCCTTAGTACCCACATAAGAAATCCAGGCCAGGACTGGAGAGCTGGCTCAGCAGTCAAGAGCACTGGCTGCTCTTCCATAGCACCCAAGTTCCAATCCCAGCACCTACAAGGTAGCCCACAACTGTCTCAAAGTCCAGTTTCAGGGCATCTAATACACTCTTCTGGTCCCCACAAATACTGCATGCATGTGGTATGCAGACATATACACAGGCAAAATGCCCATACATATAAAATAAAAATAAAGGTTAAAGAAAAAATCCAGACTAGTGCTGTAATCATAACCCCAGCAATTGGAAGGAGAGAGATCCCCAGGCCCAGCTGTCTACCTGGACTCATCACACCAACCAGCTCTAGTACCTAGGAAGAACTTGCCTCTATGTATAAAGAGAGATTATATATAAAGATATAAATATATATTATATATATACATACATATAAAGAGAGAGATTAATGATTAACTGTAAATCTCTGGCCTCCATATGTATGCTTATACACATTTGAACATGCACACACACACACACACACCATGTGTGTATATGTATATACAGACTTGTATGTTACTTATATCTGAATATCCATGCAGTACTAAATATTCTTGAAACAATACAGTATTATCACTTGATACACACACACACACACATTCAAATATGGTTAGACCTATATTTATGCATATCCAATTTCTTCATTGTTTCCAAAAGTTCATTGGGTACATTTCCATAAAGCCTATCTATAAACATGGTCAAGAAATAGGAAGAAGTCAAGTTAACACAAAACGATATCATCGTTGTCCCTTCCCGTGGTAGTAATAACTAAGGCCAGACTGTTTCCAGATGCTGAAACTAGGGTCCCATGCTGCATCCTGGGAGCTGCTAGTGACTTAACATTGGCTGCCTTTGGATAGATGCTAACATGAGGTGCTTTTCACAATTGTCGAAATTACCACACCATCCCCTCAACCCCCCCAGCACTGGTAGTTCAGTTGGTTTCTGCCAGGAGACAGCTTCCTATATGTTGCCTTATGCCTCTCACGAACTCAGGTAAAATCAGTGTGACCAACATGGAGAAGAGACCCCCACCCCACCCGGACCTCACTGCACAAGGGCGTTCTGTCAGCCAGGTGGGCACACTGAGTCTGCTGTGTGAGTGAGGCCTGCTTCACCCTCAGAGCCTAGCCATGGCACTGGCAACACATTTTGTTTAGCACAAATTCCACCACCTTCTATCATGCTGCGGGCAGCTATTTGCAAGCTCCATAACTTCCCAAGTCTTGTTTTGTGTAAACTAGTATAAAGAAAACAAAATACTCCAAGGTACTAGAGGCCTTCCCGCAGCTGCTCCTGCCTGACTGAGTCTGAGTCAAGTCTCCTCCATTAGCGTTTTTCCCCACTGTGGTGGGGGACAGAGTTGGACAGGTGGCTTCTGAGACACCCCCCCTCCCGTGCTAAAGTTTGGTGTTTGGAGGAGGTAGAGGAAGAAAATCATCACTAATCCACACCACCCAGCACTGCCTCCTCCTGAGTATCCCAGCTTCTGCCCCCCCAACCCTCATATCTCATTATTTAGCTCTTATTATTTACTCTCTCTCCTCCATTTCTCTCTCCAAGGCTGAGACAATCTACTCCTTCCTTTCCTTTTGGGCCCCATTTCCCTACAGGGTTCACTAGCTTAGCCCTGTAGTCATGGCCAAAGTGTGGTATACATGAGCAGACATGGGGTGGGTGGCTTGGGCAAAATGGGCTAAATTGATTCTGAACAAGCTTTGGTTGGCTTCTCTTCAGCATGGCCTGAGACATCTCAGCCGATTGTTTTACAAGAATGGCCCAGGTCTTGGCCAGAGCTCTGGAAGTACACTAGTGTGGATATCCTGATCAGACAGAGGGGATACCACACCTGGACAGGATCCAGCCTGGCAGTTCCCTAGGTCTGTGGTTGCCACACTATAGGGTTGCTGAGAACAGTAGTTGCCTCCCTGGCAGCTTTGATCTTGCTGCCTGAAGGCGAGGGAGACAGGTGGGGAAGGCAGGAGGAGACGTCTGCGTGGGTGAGGGGACTGGGGTTCGGATGCAACTCCCCCATGGGCATGGAACCAACCCAGGGCTGGAGTTCCTGGGTGTACACAGCACAGTAGTGCACCCTTGGCTCTGCTCCCTCCTTCTGCCTCCCCTCCCTCATCTGCTCCAGCTCACCCATAAACCTCTACAAAATAAGTGCATGGAGTAGGTAGGGTCAGGAGCAGCCGTAGATATACAGGCTGAGCGTGTCCCGGCTGCTGTACCCAGTGAAGTAGGCTACAAGGCCACAGCTGCTCAAGCCCAGCTTCATGGGCTCTAAACACCTGCAGCTTGCTACTACTTCCGTTCCCTGGGGTGGCCTCCAGTCACAGGCCCTAGGGGCTTCCCTCACCCTCTCCTGCACAAGCCTGTACCCTTCCGTCCAGCAACTTTCTTGTCTAAACTGTGAGAGATGGAAGTTGATTAGGACACCATCTCTGGCCTCCAGGGACTCTGTCTGATAGAAGAGATAGGCATGTAAACAATGGCTGCCAATAGATAAGAACTCTGCGGCAAACCTGCTGGAGATACCACACCGTGGGAAGGCAGGCAGGGAGGGGCCAGCCAGACAGCAACATAGTTCCAAGGCACACCTCAGGTGTCCTGAAGTGGTCACAGATGTAAATGGTGTTGACGGTAGGCTGGGAGAGATGACAGGCCTTGAGCTGGTACATGCTTTAGCAGAACAAACCCCTTCCCAGTTTCCTGAGAACCATGCTTAGAAAGTCCCTGTATTTCCCAGCTGTGGGTATAATGTGGGGTTGTTATAGGTTTCTCATAGAGCAATAGTGTCTGGATTGTAGAAAACACCAGTCTATTAAAATCTGCCATTCATAGCAGCCAGCATGACTACTTCTAGACATCTGTTCAGAATAGAGCAAGGACCTTCCTCACAGCCACATGGAAAGCAGGAATGAGAAATGACCAAGATGAATTGTATAGTACTGTGATGCAACATGACAGTGCTTACTGAAAACCGAGCTGGTTTTTAAAAACTTTTATATGATTTTATACTTCTGTAATTCCTAACGATAATGAGCTAAAACTCAAATGGAAGCTGTGTTTGTTTGTTTGTTTGTTTGTTTTTGACACCGGGTCTCACTTTGAAGCTCAGGGTGGTCTGGAACTTACTATGTAGCCCAGGCTGAACTTAAACTCATGATAATCTCTCCTGTTTCAGCCTCCTGAATGTTATCATAGACATGAATCACTAAAGCTGGTTAGGTTTTACTTTTTTAACATGCATTGAGTATTTATACTTACAAGCATTTAGATGCCATATTGTTAAATCTATTGTTGAATATAAAAAGATAATAGAAGGACACTGTAGTTATCTTAAAAAGAAGAGAAAAGAAAAAAAAAAAAGCTGGGCAGTGGTAGCACACGCCTTCAGTCCCAGCACTTGAGAGACAAAGACAGGGATATCTCTGAGTTCAAGACCAGCCTGGTCTACAGATCGAGTTCCAGGACAGGTTCCAAAGCTATAGAGAAACCTGTCAAAAAAAAAAAAAAAAAAAAAAGAAAAAAAAAAAAAAAAAAGAAAGAAAGAAAGAAAGGTCCAGGATTGCTGAGATGGCTTAGCAGGTAAGAGAGGTAAGAGTGCCTTCCAGCCCAAGTCTGATGCCCTGAGTTCAAATTTCCCAGAACCCATGGAAGAGAAAGAAAAGAGGAAGAGAAGAGAAAACTGATTTTCCAAAATCGTCCTCTGATCTCCACAAGTGTGCCATAGCACACATGCACCACCACCACACACAATAATAATAATAACAATAAATTTTAAAATAAAAACATTCAATTAGCTATGGTTAGGAGCTCTCGCAGCTGCTAGAGGCATCTGGTGGTACTGTGCGCCACTATAACGTGCACAGGTGTCTGGTCCTAGTGGTTATCACTCAATAGAAGAGGAGGCTATTGATGCGGGAGCTAACAGCTGGATCCAGAGGCCATGGGCCTGGCTCTTGCAGAAACCTGCAGCTGCCATGTGACAACCATTCATCAACATGCTGAAGTGGAGCTGGCCATGCAGTCGTCAACGGGAGCCTTCCAAGTGGAGTACCTGTGCAGTTTCTCAGCCCCAATCCTTGGCTAGCCGCCTAAGACTGGAAGTGTTCCTCTTCCCACCATGCTTCATCCATTTCCTGCACTTACATACTAAAGTGCTGCATAAAACGTTTTAGCCTGTCTACAGAAGTCTCTACAGAGGAGTCTGGACAGTCAGGAAAAGGAAGAAGAGAAAGCCAGAAGCAAGCTGGCCTCTCAGCCACTTCTCTGCCGCTGCTCAGACAAGCCCAGCTCTTGACTCAGAAGACTGCAATGATTGGCCTCTTGTCACACAGACTTGTTTATTGATCCTCTTGTACCCAGGGTTCCCTGATCATTCTGTGGGAAACAATAATGCAATTAAGAGGTGGTGTGGCTCTCAAGTAACTTATAAACAAAACTTAGAGCAGGGAGTGGTAATCCCTGCTCTCAGTAGGCAGAGAAAACTCCAGCCAGCCTGGGCTACGTAGAACTCCAGAGTCCAGAACACAAAACAAACAGAGGCAGAGGCAAGTACAGGCAGGGAAGGGTAAAAGGTGAACACCCTCAATATGCACTGGTGACAGAGAAAGAATCAACTCTGCCATTTGGTCCAGACTGCTGGGAGTGAGTGGGGACTCCATGGAAGATCACACTTGGTTTTGAGACCAGAAAGGTGTGATGGATCACTAAAAGATGGTGGCACACGTCTTTAATCCCAGCACTCAGGAGGCAGAGGCAGAAGGATCTCTGTGAGTCCCAGGCTAGCCTGGTCTACAGACTAAGTTCAAGGACAGCCGGAGGGGGGCGGGTGGTTTTCTAAACCCTGTGAGATGGCTCAGAAAGGAAATGCTTTTGCTGCCACAGGACCCACATGGTAGAATGAGAGACACTCCCAAGTCCTTTGACCTCCACCCATTCACTGTGGTTCACACACACACACACACACACACACACACACACACACACACACACACACTCCATATGCACACAAGATAAATTAATGTAATAAAAAAATGAAAAGAGTTTTTCCTAGCTGAAACTGTACATCCTCAAAGGTACGTGTAGGAGTGCATCAAAATTGAATGCAGAGTAGTGCCATGTTGCAAGAATGGAGGGGTGGTGGCACTGTAATGGAAAAGCGACCTGGAAAGACCAAGCAGAGCCAAACTGTGGAGTCTGGGCTTGATCTTGGAGTGTTTGATCCTAGAGAGGATCTTGGGCACAAGAATGACATTGCCCTGTAGCAGCAATGGGAAAGATGAATGAGAGTGAGACTCTGCAATTCCAGTAAGAGACTGTTGCACAAACCGTGGAGAGGGCCATTGTCTTAGTGTCGTGCTGTGAAGAGACTCCTTGACCAAGGCAATGCTTGCATTTAACTGAGGACTTGCTGTTTCAGAGGTTTAGTCCATGATCATTGTGTCAGGAAACATGGCAGTAGCTGAGAGCTTTACATCCTGATCCACAAGTGGCAGGCAGAAAAAGAATCACTGAACCTGGTGTGTGTGGGCTCTTTAAACCTCAAAGCCCACCCCCAGTGACACATTTCCTCCAACATGACCACACTTAACTCCAGCAAGGCCAAACCTCCCCCTAATCCTTCCCAAACAGCTCCACTCTCTAGTAACTAATCATTGAAATACATGAGCCTATGAGAGCCGTTCTCATTCAAACCACCACAGCTATGGAGACAGTTCAGGAGCTCAATTGCCTTTTGTGCAAGCATGAGGGGCTGAGTTTGGAGTCCCAACATGCATGTAAAAGCCAGATGTGGCCATATGGATCTGTAACCCTAGTGCTAAGGTAGGAAGGCAAGTAGATCCCTATAGCTCACCAGCCAGGCAGTCAATCTGAAATGGCCAGCTCTGGGTTCAGCAAGGAACCAATCTCCAGACACAGCGTTCAGTGGAAGACAGTGGACATCAACCTCTGGTCCCCACACATACATATCCATCAAGAACAAAAAATGATGGAGCTCTGAGACAGAATGGTCCTAGTAGGAACAGGAATAAACTCAAGAGCCCAGCAGGTGTCCTGGAGATGGAGGTGGCTAACTAAGCTTGCTACTGGGGAGGAATGGGCCTCTGAAAGAGGAGAAGGAAACACAGAAGGTGTTGATGGTGGCTCTTGCTACACCTTTTGCAAACCTGTGTTGTGAACCACCACACAGGGAGCTTTTTTTGACTGTCCCTTCTTCCTGGCCATGGTAGCCTCTGCTATCAATCACTGAGCTCCTGGAAAAGCCTTGGTTTCTCCTCCCCCAGACACATTGTCTTGCCTTCCAGAATAACCCTGTCCAAACACTAAACAAGTGCCTGTGACTTGAAGACTTGTACTGGTTGCCTGACCTCTCCCTCCCTACCTTCCCCACCAGGGATCTCACCTCCGACGACCAGATTGTACTACTCAAGTCAAGCGCCATTGAGGTTATCATGTTGCGCTCCAATCAGTCTTTCACCATGGATGACATGTCCTGGGACTGTGGCAGCCTGGACTACAAGTATGATGTCACTGATGTCACCAAAGGTGCGGTTGGACTCCTCCTCTGTTTTCTCCAACTCCTAGACTCTCGCTTTCTAGCCTCTGGACTCTGGGGGCTGTAACCAGGCACATGGAAGGAGACTGGGCAACGACAGGGAGAGAAGGGCAAGGGGGTACCCAGTCATGGATTCAGGTTATTCTGTTCTCTTTCACAGCTGGGCACACCCTGGAGCTGATCGAGCCCCTCATAAAGTTCCAGGTGGGACTGAAGAAGCTGAACTTACATGAGGAGGAACATGTCCTGCTCATGGCCATCTGCATTGTCTCCCCGGGTATGGAGCTGAGCAGGGAGGAGCGGAGAGATCTGGGATGTGGTGGGGACTGTTATGTGGTAAAGACCTGCCAGAACTGGCAGGATAGTCTGAGGGAGAAGTGAACAAGAAAGGCAAATAAGGAAATGCTCACTCTGCTAGGTTTGCATAGTCCACAGGGCACGTGGAGGGGCCCCTCAACACATGAGGCTGTGGTGATATATTATTTATGATTTATATTGAAACATGCCTGAGGATTCAGAAAGCAAAGCCAGCCACAAGCCATATAATCCAGGCACACACCTTTAATCCCAGCAGCCAGAAGCTAGGAGGTAGTGGTACACACCTCTAATCCTGGGACTCAGGATTAAAAGGTAGATGGATCTCTGTGAGTTCAAGGCCACCCAGAGAGAAACAGCTCACACAAAGATGGTCTCAGCACCTGGGATCACACACCTTTAAGTCTAGTAGTAGAGAGGTATAAAAGGTAGGAGCAGGGTCTTCAGTAGTCAGTATCAGGCATTCATTCTCCAGCCACATTGAGGATAAGAAGACATTCAGTCTTAAGATTCTCCAGCCACACTGCTCTAGAGGCAGCAGGATCAGCCCATTCATCCTGAGGTAGTTGTTAGAGCTAGGGGCCTCTACTTAGGTTTTCTAATCTTCAGCTTGAAGTTTGAACCCCAGTACCAGTCTCTGGGATTTTTTTTTTTTTTTCGTGTTACATGTGGCTTTGTCCCATGGAGCCCAGGGTGATTCATAGGACTTTGAGGAACCAGATGAACAGGGTTCCATAGGCCACACATCGGCCTTGGGTGTTGCCAATGTTCAAGCTGTGTTCTTGTGTGAACTGGGATGAACTTCTCTGTCACCCGAGATTCCTTGGAGGCAGGGCACAAACCCTTGTGGAGCAATGGATGGTTCCCGCCTGGGTTGATTTTGGAGGCTCTGGGCTGTGACCAAAGCATGAAAAAGACTAAGAAGGAAGTTATGGTCTTAGAGAGGTTATATTGGTGACAAAGCCCAAAGGATACAGCCCTAACTCAGCCTGGACCACATGTGCACAGGGAAAAACTATTGGCCTTCCCAGGCTGATGGCCCAAGAGATAGACAAAGGTTCCCCTCCTGCTGCCCAGCTGGTATGTACTTCTCATTTACATACTCAGTAATGATATACTGAGCACTTACTATGGCCAAGCACTGGGCAAGGCACAGGAAGTCTCAGCAAACAGGATAGACTTTTCTCTCATGAAGGTTAGGGGGAAACGAATGCTAGTATCTACTCATTTGCAATATGAGTCTTGAATATGAAGATGCTGTGATGCTGAGGTAGATCTGGAGCAGGAAGGTGGAGGGAATTGGGGACAGCCTTCAGGAAGGGCTTTGAGTCTCATCCCCAGTGACCAGTCAGTCAGGCAAATAGACAAGGGCTGACTCCCAGGCAGAGGGAAGATCGGCTGGCCACTGTGGAGGACAGGAATACCAAAGACTAAACCTAGAGGCAGAAGAAGTGACATGGTGGGGACAGGTCCAAAGGAGCCCATGGGAGGGCTTGGTCCCAAATGCAGTGGGACGTCATGGGGGGGAATGCTGACATGGGCATCTGTGTGGGTGGATGTTGTGAAACTAAGCATTAAGGAATTCATCTGTGCACCCCTGTGTCTCCCTCCATCCCCTGTGACATAGACCGACCTGGGGTACAGGATGCCAAGCTGGTTGAAGCTATTCAGGATCGCCTATCCAACACACTGCAGACCTATATCCGCTGCCGCCACCCACCCCCAGGCAGCCACCAGCTCTATGCCAAGATGATCCAGAAGTTGGCTGACCTGCGAAGCCTCAACGAGGAACATTCTAAACAGTACCGCTCCCTCTCCTTCCAGCCCGAGAATAGCACGAAGCTCACACCCCTTGTGCTAGAGGTGTTTGGCAATGAGATCTCCTGACCAGGGTGGCCTGCAGTAGTGCCTGGGTGGGGCCGCTCCTCCAGGGCCCTGTACCCAGGCTCTGGGCTGGTTGCAGCCCAGCGATGCCTCCTGCCCCTTCTGGAGTTCAGTCCTTCCTCTGCCATCGCCATGTTCATCCTTTCTCCTGCCTACCCTGTCTCCCTTTCCTGCAGACCACAGGTTGGCCCTGTCCCTAGAGACTTCAGTTATTAGAGACTGCTATTCATTTGATAAAGAAACTTAAGTGGGGGTAGAGGCAGAGGCTGCCGGCAGAGCCCTGCCTAAGGATGTTCCCACTATAAGGGGTTGCTGCTCGTGTCGAGGGAGGCAGGCAGGAGAAATGTGCCCATGCCTCAGGGACAGCTACCTGTATCTCCCCTGACTCCGGCCCCACTTGCCCAGAGCCTGGTGGGAAATCCCTTACCCCTGCCAAAAAGGATATACAACCTACCTACAATCCCTGTATCCCATCTCATCCTGCCACCAGTGTGCACTATCCCATCCCAGGGCAGTCGCTCACTGCGGGGCCTCCTTCCTCTGCCATTATATTCACAGACTCATTCACTGCCAAGATGACCAAATACATACCACACTAGCCAATGAGTACTCACCTAGTTCCCACCTTTGAGGTTTTATCATGGGAACTCCCAGGAGCCAGTACCTCTGGTACAGGCCTAATCCATTCCCAGAACCACTGACCTAGAAAACACCCGAGGAAAGGCCCCAAGGGTTGTAGCCCAGCCCCGAGTAATAAAGAACAGAGCCAGCCTCCCAGCAGGACCATGAGTGGAGACCCCTCTGTCCTTGTCATCAAGCCAGGGTCCCTCAGCCTGGAGATAATGGGATCTCTCCAGAGGTGTCCAGACCAAATGTTCCCAACTTTCAGAAAATTCCCAGCCCTGTCTTTAACCCTTACCCTGCCAGTGCCTTACCACCTACTAGAAAAGCACCTCATTCTTAGGCCTCCCAGGGCCTCACCCTCTGGTCACCAAGAATGTACCAGAAGTCATCTCAGCTTTCCCAACACCCCCATTTGGAACAGCAACGTCTCCTCAGAAGCATAGCCCGGGAATTTGGAACCCTCATCTTGCTCACCCCCAAGTACACCCCTTTCTGATCATGGGTTGTAGGTGTGCCAGACCCATACAGAAGAGGTTCTCATGCATTTAACTTTGCAAGAACCATTAGTTCCCATCTGGCCCTGTGTTTCCCAGAACTCAAGTGAAAAATGTGTTGGGTCACATCCCTGTATTTCATAGCGGCAGTCAGAAGGCTTCATTTAAAATATATCAGAACAGAGTTGTTTTCAGAATTAGACCTCACCCATACTGTGTTCTACACTGAGGTGGCAACATCTGGATCATCGATTTATGAGTGTGAGTGTGTGTGTGTGTGAAATACTGTACATTGATGATTATTGCTACTTCACAAAAAAAAAAAAAAAAAAAAAACTAGAGACCTTTGATTTTAGCTGCAGAACACATTGATTCAGCTCACTATTCAATGGGAGGGAAAGTTTGAAAATTGCTAAGCTACTTCAACCCTTTATGATGAGAACCTGCCATTAGAGGAAAGTGTGGTTTACTGGGACTCTTATAATTAGAAACATCCCAGACCTGGAGAAACTTGGAACTTATAGTCCTGGGCCGTTTTATATCAAGCCTGTTTCCACTGCTCTGGTAGTTGACCCAAGATTTGAGGAAGCCCTGGATTTTAGAGCAAACCTTCACCTGGGACTTTTCTTCTTCCCCTGGGGGGAAAAATGCACCCACCTGCCCATCCAAAGGAGGAGAGCAGGCACTCTGGCCTCCCTGAGTGAGGCCTGGCTTTTGGACACTCCACCTCAGCTCTGTGTGCTGCTGTTAAATTGTCAATAACGTGTCAGCTTTGGGAAAGCCTCTGTCCTCTTCCCTTCCTGCCCTCTCCCTGAAACTCACAGGCTTCCAGAGAAGGCCAGTTACCACCACTGAGGGAGCCCCCCAAAGGAAGCCTAGGAACCGGTAGGAAAGTGAAACAGGGCCAGGTAGTGTTTAGAAATATCTAGTTTGTTTATTTTGAACATGAAGAGGTAGGTGTTGAAAGAGCTCACACTTCTGAGAGGGATTTTATTAGACATGAAAGGGAAATGGACAGTCACCAAAATGGAAAATCAGCACAATTTCTTGAGATAGGCAAATTCTCCTGCTGTCTAAGTAGAACAGGGAGTCCTAGCCAGGCCAACAGCAATGATTGAGATAAATGACGAATATGGCAGAAGTTAGACATCTAAATAGCCTGCCTCCAAAGAGAAAAAAAAAAAGTGTTTCCAAGAGCTTGTCAAATAAACCAATGAAAATGCTTTGCCAATGGTAATTAAAGTGGTTTAGCTTTACACGGCACTTACTTTGTGACAATTACCGCTGTAAATAAATGCCTCATGATAACCAACCTGCATGATCTTTATAAGGACCTCATGAAAGATGCACTATGGTTGTCCCCATGTGGCAGAGGGGATTAGCTGTCCAAAGCTTCACAGGTGGCGAGTGAGAAGTGGAGTTCAGACCTGGGCAGCTGTCTCTGGATTAATTGCAATGTTCTACTGCCCCCTATAGAGTTAAGCGGTGTGGCAAATGATTCCAGTCTTGCTAAGGAAAGTTTCTATTCAGAGATGGGGAAACTGGGTGTGCCGGGTCACAGGGTGCTCTACACGCAAGAAGCACCTGGCCTAATAATGTGTTGGCCTCAGTTAGATGTGGCACTTAACAAAGATCAAGAATGAAACCAAGGGACTACTGGCAACAATAGTCCTTGCATTGGAGACAGCGTTTAGGCCAGTACCTTGGAGTGTTACAAGTACCTCTGTGTATAAATATGACTCCTTAGGGGCCCAAGGGAGTAAGACAGATACAGCAAACAAGAATATTCCCAACCAAGGACTTAACACAGAGAATTGCAGATGGCAGAAACCTGGGGTGTGATTTACTTTAATTTGCAGAAGCATCTGAAAAGATTTCAAGCCCCAGGCTAAGACATCCCAGTAGAATGAGATGAGAGGAGAGGGCTGGAGAGCTTTGTCATGAGAAATAAGTTAACTCAGAGAAAGGAAACCCATAGTTACCTACATAAGGCCTATCTGTGGAACTGAGAAACAGCACCACAAATCCAGCACACAATCAGGGAACATTAGAATCAGACCAAAGTGACGAGTGTTCGCACACCAAGCTTTTGTTCTATACCTGTTGAGCCATTTAATTTTTTAATTTTATTTATTTATTTTTCAAGACAGGTTTTTCTCAGTGTATCCCTAGCTGTCCTTGTAGACTAGGCTGACCTTGAACTCAGAGATGGACCTGCCTCTGCCTCCTGAGTTCTTGGAAAGGCATATGTCACTATGCTCCATTTAAATTTAAAATCACTAAAACTAAATCAAAGACAGGGTATGGTTGTGCACATCCTTAATACCAGCACTCAGGAGGCAGAGACAGGCAGATCTCTGTGGGTTCAAGGCCAGCCTGGTCTACAGAGTGAGCTCCAGGATGGCAATGGCTATGTAGAGAGATCCTGTCTCAAAAAAAAAAAAAATAAATAAATAAATAAACAAGCCATTTCCACTAGGCATTACAAAGAACAAAACAACAAACAAAAACCTCTCATACTGTGTGTGTGTTGGGAGGGGGGTGGGGAGTGTGCGGATCAAACCAAAGTAAGCATTCAGTTCTTCAACTGGACAAGCCACAGTTCTCAGACTTCCAGTACTCAGTGGCCTCAGAACTGCCATTAGGGACAATGCTCATCAGAACACTTTTATTATCACAGGGGTGGTCTATCCCAAGCAGTTTTCCCCATAGCACAGGCTGGCCTTACTCTATAGCATGGACTAATTTCAAGCTCAATGCTTCTGGTGATATATGTGGCACAGGGGGAACCTTGGTGGATCCCATGGCGGGTGAGGGATGAATATCACCATGCAGGCAGAACTTACACGGGAAGGAAGCTTTATTGGGGGAAGGGAAGTGAGTGGGGGAAGGGAAAAGAGGGAGAGAGAGGAGAGAGAGAGAGGGAGGGAGAGAGAGAGATTTGTCTGCCTCCCCAGAGAAATGTCAGAAAAGAGAGCAGGAGTGGGCTGAGCTTGTCTCTTAAAGGGACCTTTGCACCTGCATACAGAGCCAGGGTACTGCTTGCCATGTGTGCAGGGGTGACTATTCTGCCAGATCCCCAAGGGGCAGGGGCAGGTTTGCCTGGATGATAACCCCTGGTAGTATGAGAGAGGGGATATTGTGGGGCAGAGTTCACTGCAGCAGACAACTGCTTCTGAGCGGCCATACACACGTCACATACTAGGTAGCATGTGAGGGGCTCAAGGGAAACAGACCCTAAAATGGAGTTTGGAGGCCAGAGTTTTACTGAAGAGAGTTTGTATGGAATAACGTGAGACAGAGGAGCTGGGCTGAGAAACATCTCATTGGAAGTCGTAATGCCAATCAAGGGGAGCCTGGAACTGCGCTGGACTTTGGCTGGTCTCCTATTGAGGAAGATAAATTTTCTATTTTTTTAAAATTAATTCAGTGTATTCATTTTACACCCCTCTTATCCTCCTATCTCCCTCCTACCCTGGTTTTCTTTCATTTCAGAGAGCCATTAGGTGCAGAACATCCCCCAGAATCAAGGGTGACCTTGACATGACCTTGAGATATGACAAGAGCTGGTAGAAGTGGATCATATTTCTTATTCTATCTAATCCAGTCAGGACCTTTTTCAGAAGATTTCTCTGGCTGGGGAGAGGTAGATGTATTCCAGTGCCTTTCTTGCGGTTCTGGGGAAGAGGACACCTGCTCCATAGGGTTTCTTGAGCCCCATCCAACAGTCAAATCTCACCTGGAAACTTATCTTGAGACTCACCACTAGGGGGAGGTACTACCATACAGCAAAGCCCTGAGGTCCTGCTGCTGAAGTCAACCTGTTGGCGTTCTCTTACCTCAGTATATTGAACACCTCAAGCAGGGGCCTCCCAAGATCAAGACTTTGTACTTGTTGCCTCTGAGTTCCACTTGTGCTGAGAGTGAGAAGCCTGGGGTAGTCCACAAGCCCGACTGTGTCTTCTTTCCAAAGTTCCTAAAAGCACAGGCCCACAAACAGACCATTGGAAACAGTGACAGAGGAAGCCACCGAGTGTAACAGTTAAGGGCGGAAACTACACCCAGGCCTGAGGTTGTTGCATGATGTTTTTGAGCCTTGGTTTCTTCCTCTATAAAATGGCAGAAGTAACAGTAGCCACCTTGATGGGTTACTGTTGCTACATGTCAGTCTGTATAAAGAATTCATCACAGTATCTGGCATATAACCATCAATCAGAAAGACCTAACAATATCATTGTTGGACTTCAGGGTGGTCAAATAAGTGTGTACTAAGGAGGTGACATTGTTCCCATACTCTGACCACTGATTCTTTCTGGGTCACTTGATTGTCCCCAGACTGATGTCTATAGCCTCTTCTTCAGATCTCTGCCTCTTGCTAGATAGGGACTTCTTATGGTCTCTAATGATCAGGATCTAAAGATGTCATTGGCCATCTGGCCACCAGAGGGCAGGTGAGTCATTTAATGAGAGCCACATTGTACCCAACTGAACCAGATTGTTGGGACCTGGGGGTGGAATCTATATCGGTATTCAAAGAATATGGTTACTGCCATCCCCAACTTCTTCAGTTATATCCTTTCTTTTCCAACTTCATCCCCACAAACCAACAAATGAAGAAAAAACAAAACCAGCACTCCTTAACTCCTGCCTCCATGACGTGTGGAT